TGGGGGATAAACAATCTGTGAAAAAGAACTATGTCCCTGACTAGTGCCCAACACAGCCAGTTTCAGAGTGAAATTCTACACTTCCAAGTAGTGATTGTTTTAAGGTGAGCCTACCGGGGGCCCAGAAGTCACTGCACCAGAGCTGAATTAATTAAAAGCACTGATGAAGATATATATGTTGCAGCCTTGCCACGTGTAACTCAAGAAGTGTGGCTCTGCTTCTGTCTGAGGTTTGGAGGGAGCCTTGTGGCTTCAGAAAAGAATCTGACTTTTGGCCAAGCTCAGATCCCCACTTCATCTTCAGGTCTTTGGTTAAACCACTTGAGGCTTCTCCTGAAGTAGCTACTTTACCCCTTAAATACTTGTGTGTTCACATATTTCAGCTAATTACTAAAACCACATCAGGTGTTGGGTATATGGGACTAGGGTGTTATTAGAAAGTGGTATTGAGCTGATTGATAGTGTTTGGTCAGAAAATAGAGTCTTCTTGCTAGTCCAGTCACTCCACCTCACAATAGAAATCTTAGATATGAAAGTATGCACAATAAAAAGGGAAACCAAAGCAGGCCTTGAACACAAACCCTGCTGTAGAAATCGCGTAAGGAGGTTTGACTGCTTGGAGGCCTTCTTTTTCCTGTTAGGCCTAACTAACCTTAAACCAAAGAATATATTAACATTGTCCTCTTCCTTCAAACCTCAAACTCAATTTGGTAGTTTTGATAGGAAGACATACCCTCCTGAGCCAGAAAAAGAAAGCCAGAAAATCTTGGGAGTCAGTTATTTATACCTCCAGATTTCCAGCCTTAGAAACAGGGTTCAGTCAATGTCCTCAAATAAGTCCAATCCAGGATAATCTTCCTCTCTAGGGCTGGAAAACAGGAGGGTTCACTGAGGGAGTAGACTTTACATATGCAGCCCACTGCCAAGCGTTCTATTCCCTCAGCCTCCAAAATTCTTCATCTTTCTAATGAAGAAAGTGGCTCTAATATAAGAAAAAAGATATAGAATAAAACAGTCTGTGATTGAGCCTAATTTAGGTCTTTAACATTTTGTCATTTAAACTTATTTTCTCAAGAGCTTAAATTCTCCTGAAGTTGCATTATTATCAGGACAGATGGCCAGTCTTTTCTCTTGAATGCTAGAGTGCCTTCCAATTTTCTTATACTGGTTATTTTCTTCCATCAGAGTACTATCTGAGTCTACAAATGAGAGCTGAAGGGATAGCTGCAGACTGAGAAAATGGAACCAAATTAACAAAAGTAGCTTGACCTAATTGGGCAGAACACTTATGTGAGAGACACCTTCTGTATTTTTATCTGAAAACAAGGCTGTAGTGTTTGGACAGAAATTACTGTCTTATTTAAAAATTTAGCTCACGGTTGTTTCAAAGTATTATCTGCTTTATTCTGCCTTTTCTTGGTAAAACCATTGTGTTACGAATGGGTCATTTCCTTTTTATTCTAAGGTTTTATAATAATATGTAAAGTTATTATTCCATGTATTCCTTCTGCTCCATATTCTGCATAGGTCTGGAAGCAAGATTTTTGTTTTTATTTTTTAACCTATTTCATTTCTTTTTTTTGTAAGGAGCAGTAATTTGTCACCCTGATTTAAGTTGTTCTAATTTATACTTAAAAAATGTTTATACAGACATAATCTTTTTCAACTGCTTTAGCCAAGGACTTGAATGCCTGATTAAGACAGTCGAATTGGTTTTACAGTTTTACCAAAGACTTGCTTAATACGTATTATTAAAGGAGGGATTGGTACTATCATGCTATCTTAAAGCTGATGCTTCTGCATTCTTGTCCTGGACCTTGTCTCCGGTGAATTCATCTCCTCTCATTCGTCATTTTTTGTATTTTAACCTCCTTTCTCACATGGGCTGTTTGATCCATAAGGGACTCAGTTTAGAGCCATTTCCTCTTTCTTGGGTGTTTTTACACATTCGCATAGTTTTGAAATATGTTCAGGTGAACTTCCAGTACCTCTTTTTATTCTAGGACTTATTTCTTCTCTGCTCCACAGGGCTAGCTGACCTAGGAATCATTCCTTCCCATGAAGATAATCCATCCTTTTGGGTTAGATAACGACCACTGTGTAGAAAGGCCATGGCATTACAGATTGGGAGAAAGCTTATTAAGAAAAGAGTACATGATCAATCACAACAAAAGTTTGACTCTTGCAGTGTTTACTATGTATAAAGCTCCTTACACATTATCTTCCCAACACTGTAGGATGAATATGACTTACCCAAGTCCTCAAAGGTAGAAAGACCGAAGCTGTAATTCTCAGTCACATATTTCCTGGATCCAAGTCCTGTCTTCATCACCACATTGTGATGACTCCTTCTCACACTCATGACATTATCGTCAAAATAAACACATATTAATCACAAGGCCCTCTCACCGTCCTTCAGCCTAGTGATGGTCATAGTGAGTATAAAACACTTGTAGCCTCTCAAATGAGTGCTCAGAGTATCTTCTGGCCAGTTCAGCTCCCTAACTTCTGCTGGCTGGGGTGCCTACAGTCAGGCGTCCTTTATCAGAAACTCCTAAAGAGATCAAGCTAGTCGCATGTACTCACCATTTTTGTCTTCTCCTTCAGGAGCCCTCTAGTGGTTCCTCATTAGGTGTCCACAGAATATTAGTGGGGTGATTGCAAATTCTGATTGGTAATTCACATCCTGATTAATGTTACATTATAGATCATTCCATTTCATCAAAACACATTTCCTTAGATATGAAGAGTGTGGGAACCACTGGGTTATAGTTTGCTCTGTCATCTTTCTTATGATAACTTGAAGCATTTACGCCCTCATGGGTGACATATCCTCTTCTTGTTTGCATCTCTATTAGTAGCAGTGCCTCATTCAACACTTTGATGGTCAGTAACACTGATGAAGGATTGGATGATATATGTAATTGTATTAGAGCCTACTATTAAGGTCCGTTTAAATGGTAATGAAAAAAAAAGACTTCTCAGCACTTACCATTGTAACATTCGTCACCTAAGGACAGGACTCATAGGGAAACCGTGTTCTCTAACCCTGTTTTTACCACTTCTCTTGTAGTGGTGTAAATCAAAATTTCTTTCCCATTTATTGCCAATTATTTTTCCTTTCTTCATCTTTACAATTCATATATCCAGCACAGGCCCAGTTACCTTTGGATAGTAGAAACCCAAGAGCACTTGGAAAAATATATTTAGTCTATGCTCTGACCAGGATCACAACAGATGGTTCTGCACAGAGCTGGAGAAGGATGTAGAGCATAATTCTAACTCACAAAAAAAAAAGACCAGATTTACTGGTCTAAAGGAGACTGGAGAAACCCCGAGAGTATGGCCCCCAGACACCCTTTTAGCTCAGTGGTGAAGTTATCTTCAAGGTTCATCGTTCAGCCTGGGAGTGGACAGCCCCGTAAAACCAAATGAGACTAACGAGGTACAGGAGTCCAGTGACAAGGGCCAGAAGGCAAAAGGGGACAAGGAAGGTAGTGATAGGGAACCCAAGTTTGGGTATGGATATTGTTGATGTGTTGTGAGATTGTTAACCATTGTCATAGGGCAACATTTGTAGTAACTGTTAAATGAGAAACTGTTTTATTCTGTAAGCCTTCATCTTAAATGAGAATAACAACACAATTGGAAGAGCGTAGTCAATGTCACTGAACTGTGCATGTAGAAATTTTTGAAATGGTGTATCTTTGGCTATGTGTATTTTCACCAAAAAAAAAAAAGGCTGAGAAGTTAGAGGGTTGACATGTTGTGGGGTTGCTAACCAATGTCATAAAACAATATGTGTACTACTGTTTAATGAGAAACTATTTGCTCTGTAACCTTTCACCTGAAGTACAATAAAAAATATACATATATATTTAGTCTAGAAACAATTTTAGTAATTAAAATTGATCCTCTCACTCGCCCACCGCCCGTAAAATATAACATTTTATGTGAAAAGTTTTATGTTAAGAATTTTGACATTATAATTTCAACCATTCTGTCTCTGCTGGCAAACCAACCAAACAAACAAAAAAAGTAACGGCAAAACACAAAAACAAAAACCTGCTAAAAGTGGGGAAGTAATAACAAATAAACACAACAGTAATCTTTGATCAGTGTACATCCCCAGCTGGCTATTAAGGAGACAGTGAGATAAGTGGATATTTTACAATATGTTTTTTGGGGTCACTAGAAACAACTGGTCCCACCATGTAGGCTATGAGGTGGCTTTTCATCTCATTGCTCATGTTCGTATGTTTTAATTTTACCAACTCGTTTACATCCTTAAAACTTATTTTTTTCTAAATTCAGTGCTCATTTTTATTATGTTACTAATGACTTCTGCTTCAGCCCTTCTTGATTACGAAATTTATGATAATGAATATCAGTGTCTTTTTTTTTTTTTTAACAAAACCACATTTGCACGTGGTTGCATTCTTTCTTACTCTTTTCTTTCTTGTAGTTTTTCTTTGTTCCTTTCTCATGTTCCCGCTTTCTCCAGTTCTTTGCTTACTTTCCATAAATCTGCATCAGCTAATGGTTTTATATCCTGACAATTATGTCTCTTCACTCAAATGTCATCTAAGGGTAGAACTTTGAAAAAATAATTGCTCTAAGTTAACTTGGTAGGTAAGAATAAAGAATAGGTTTGCGAACAGGCATTTTTCTTATCCAAAGCATGATCACTTGAAGCATTCACACCCTCATGGGTGACATACTAAAGAAACTATAATAAAAACTTTTATTTCATAAGTAATACTGTTGTAACACTTCAATACAGCACTTATTATTAGAGGCTCAATAATAGGAGAACTTTCTTCTACTTCTGCATTGCATACCTAGCATCCTAACTGCTATAAGTAAGTTTCATTTTATATAGAATTTAAACTGTATAAAAATGATATACTAATGAGAAAATGAAAGAAGAAAACATCCTCAAATGGGATCACTTTCTTCAAACTCGTTCACTAACAGACATTTCTCTAAATTTTCCTTAGTCCCTGAAATTCATGGAAAAACCAAGCCAATGATCACTTATGTAGGGGATTCTACTGTCTTGGCATGTAAATGTCAAGATTGTTTTCCTTTAAATTGGAGCTGGTACAGTAGTAATGGGAGTGTACAGGTAAGATTAAATGTCTTTAATTTGAAGAAATTAAAATAAAAACTTTATTTCATAAATAATGCTATTAGAACAGATTCAAAACTCCTAGGACTATTTATATACTTGTATTATCTTGCTCTTTAATATGTATTCATAAAGAAAGAACAGTGATAAATGGAATTGTCAACTCATATTGTCAGCATATTACATTATACATCTAAAGTTATTCTGAATGTTCTGTAAGCTACTTTGTTTTTTAAAGTTAGCATTTTATAAAAGCAAGACACAGTTCATTTTTAGTTGACCATGTTCGAAATATATTCTTCAGAGAGATTTGTTTTCTTATTTAGTGAAAGTACCTAGAAAAAAAGCCAGTGTTTTCCTGTTTCTGTTTTCTGAAATATCTGTGATAAATGCAATGCAGATGTACCCTTTGAGTAAAGAATATATATAGAAAATTTGATAACTTAAACTTAGGTCTTGGGTTTTATTAGAAAGTGTCCTTAACCTTTTTTGGCCTTCTGGAGACCTAAGGGAAGCCAAATAATTTTAATTCCTATTTATTTAAGAGAAAGGACCATTCAAAGAGCTGATCTAACAAAAATATATGTACTCAATAAATCGTGTCTAGCTTTCCTCCTTCCTCCTATGGCAGGTAAATTCAGGACATTGTTCCTCAGGGGACACCCTTTTTTTTGACTTGGGGCTACTAATTGTTGAAATTAATGTCCTCTTAAAGCAAGTTGTAGTTCTAAAAGTAAAAATATGAGATAGTGTAGATCTTACAATAAGATATTAAATTCCTTCTTAGACAGAATTGATAGTATGCTAGACTGTTGCAGGATGACAGAGGAAGAATTTAGAAAGAACAGTGGCTGATTCTGTGATAACATTGGTTTAATGTTTTTGAGAAGTAGCTCCAAATTGCGTAGGTGTAGGCATAAACCATTAACACTTCACTTTGTCTCTCTTGTTGATGCTAGAAAAGGCAATCATTGTTTATGTATGTGTAAATATTTTTAAAACCATGTAAATATGTAAAAATAAATAGCAATTTCGTTCTTTGAGATATATAACATTATTTATGCATATGTAATACCAAACAAAAAATCAGCCCAAACCTTATTTATATTAAAGTTTTAGAATATAGTCTTACATATACCTATATTTCTCCACCAGCTGTAATAATCTCCTAATTTGGCCCTAAGCATGGATGACATTAGGATGTGAGGAAGGTGCAAGGGAATAAGGTACAGAAACCCTGAGTCAGGTTAGTCAAGTAGACTAACAATGTGCATCAGAATCACCTGGGCCGCCTATACAAATGCAGGACAGGTACTTTTGATTCACTAGCTCTGATTTATGGTGCATTTGTAAAACACATCCCAGCCAATTTACTATAATATTTTGGCAAATTATAAACTCACACAGCTCTTCATTAGATAACCTCTCAGAATATTTATATACTGATGAGCATTTATATTGAGCAGTGCAGTGGAGTGAGAGAGTGATGAAGGCATATCAAATGGCTTGAGAATAAAATTTAATTTAAACAGATAAAATAAAAAAGCCCCAAGAAATAGCTTGGTATGGCTCTTGAGAGGGTAAAGAAAATCCAGAGAATTGCAGCATCCAGCTTACCTGAGAAATTCAGAAACAAAAAGACAGAACATGTGCCCATTGCGATCGAGTCGATTCAGACAGAGTAGAACTGTCCGATAGGGTTTCCAAGGCTGTAAATCTTTGTGGAAGCAGACTGCCACATCTTTCTCCAGCTGAGCGGCTGGTGGGTTCCAACCACCAGTTAGCAGCTGAGTGTTTAACCACTGTGCCACCAGGGCTCCTTTAGAAGGTGTGCAGACCCCCATGTATGCCAGGGCCAAAGGAGATTTCTACCATTTCTCTGCATCACCTCCAAAGGCTGAAGATTTCATCTTCAATCCCCACATTTGAATGTCCCATCTTCATGGTCAAGTGTTCTTCCTTTATAAGAATGATGTTGAAAGTTTTATGTTAAGAATTTTGACATAATAATTTCAACCATTCTCTCTCTGCTGGCAAACCAACCAAACAAACAAAAAAAGTAAAGGCAAAACACAAAAATAAAAACCTGCTAAAAGTGGGGAAGTAATAACAAATAAACACAACAGTAATCTTTAGTAGCTCAGGGGTAGTTATTGTTTCAGTGTACGCCTGTGATCTATGAAAGAGAAAGTGCTTTGACTAAAGAACTAGCTGAGTATTAGAACATGAAACCCAGATGGCTGGAATTTTTCTCCCCTTTTTCCTTATAAAACATTTACCCATAATGATGTACTTACTGTAGTTTCAGACATTGACACCTCAGGGCTAAGTACACTTTACATTGTTTGCTACCTTCAGGAGATCAAACTCTAAGACTTAAGCTCTGTTTAATATAACTTCTCACGAATTTTAATATGCTCTTCCGTGCCTTTTCTAGTAAGCAATTTTCCCAGCACCATCTTATGGCTGTACCTCAAAACTAGATCCTATAGGACATGTATCTTTTATGCAATATAATAGTTATGAATTTTAGTGTCTCCTTCTGTCAGGTCCCTGTCAACATTCAAATGAGTAATAAGTTCTACGTGATCAATGGAACATACAGTAATGAAACAAAGCTCAAGATAATGCAACTTTCAGAGGAAGATCGGGGACCTTACTGGTGCCATGCAGTTTTCCAATTAGGCGAGAGTGAAATTCTCATTGAACTTGTCGTGCTGAGCTATTTGGTGCCCCTTAAACCATTCCTTGCAATAGTTGCTGAGGTTATTCTTTTAGTGGCTGTTATTCTCCTCTGTGAAATGTATACCCAAAAGAAAAAGAATGAACCAGGTAGGAATTTTTTTGTTTTTATTGTTTCTGTGAAGCTATCATGTTATGACTTAGTATATTATAGTGGCTTTGGAGTTTGGGGGAAAAATCCAGTTTTTATTATTTGGAGTGGTATTTATGTTAGTAACAAAGGTGAAGTGGGCTGTGAGCTTATATCCATGTACTTCCTAAAAAGGTTAGTATTAAAAAAACCTTTCTTGTCTTTTCTTTGGTACTACTCATGCCTAAGCACCAATTAATTGGGTGATACGTGTTTTGGTGCTGGAATATTAGAAATTCTGGCAGAGTTTAACATAAAAGATTGCAAAGATAAACAACTATCCTTTCACTTAGATAATTCATTTTTTATAAAAGTTTCATCATTCTGGAGTTCTCATCCAAGAGACATTCTTCTGTCAGTTTCCTATTTTTTACTCTGTGCCTGATGGGTTACGATTTGAGAAACCAAAGGTCCACTAGGAAAATTAATCTTACATTCTGCATTTTTGAACCAAAATTTAATAAACTTAATTGAAATCAGTTATTTCTATTTCTTCAAATCCCAGGGTACTAAATTATGATTGAGTGAAAATGCCGGTCCAGCCTGGAGAGCTTGAGGAAGGCAGGCTAGAAGTGCTGCCATCTAACGCAGCATGTTCTCCTTCATTCCAAAGAGGGAAAACAGCAGAGTGCGTTAACTCAGGGAAAAGTGAAGTGAACATAGGTGTTCCATAAAAATTGTAAACCAACCTTAATATTTAAATTTTTCTTTTGTCACACAGATGATGGGAAAGAATTTGAACAAATTGAACAGCTGTAAGTATTACTATTTACAGATTAGTTTTCAGTTGAATAAAATACAGGTAAATATGACATTAAATAAAATAATTGCAGTTGAGAAAAAAGTGCAAAGGTATATATGCCTTATTTTCTGTACCCTTCTGTGCTGTGGTGAGAATGACATCTGGAGTTAGGCTGCCTGTGTTAGAAACCCTCTCCACCTTGATAACCTTCACCTCTCTGTGCTTCATGTTTCTCCTCCTCAGAATTGGTTTAGTAATAGTACTTACCACATGAGGCCGTTGGATTACATGATATTATGTATGTAAAAATGCTTAGTAGAGGCCTTGATGCACAAAATATATTCAGTAACCATAGAAGTACTAATTTGTTTAAAGCAGTACTTCTCAGCCTTGGCTACATTTTTGATCACTTAAGCTTCTTAAAAATACAGTTGCTCTGACCTTACTGAATCAACTGGATCAGAACTTCTGGGAAAGAGGTCTGGGCATCTGTATTTCTTTAAAATGTCTACCGGTGATTCTAATTCCCTGTCATGTTGAGAACCACTGGCCTAGAGTTCTGTTAGTCTTTTTTTTTTTTTTTTTGAGAGAACACAATTTGTGGCATTAATTCTCTTACAGCTCTCTTTGGAGTTGAGCATTAGGAAAATGAGAGGCCTGAACAACTATACCTACACAAATGACACTTGATGTTCATTGTTATTGGCCACCAGAGGCTCTGAGATGTGAGGGCTGTAGCTACAGTTAACAAGCAGGAGTGGGGCAAAGAGTTGACATACAGATATTCATAGACATTATTAAAATAGCTATTTTTACTTGGTTCACATAGAGCAGGTTAAAATAAATCAACCAAATATGAGCTTCTAAGTTAAGGGCACACAATAATTATATCAGGAATTCCATAGAGAGGGGAAATGGAGTGTTGTCTTAGCATCATAGACTCTAATAGTGGGGAGGGAATTGAATATCTCTCAAGGCAGCACATTCTCCTTCTGGAGAGCTTGAACATCTGGCTAATATTGATTTGAACTCTTTGATTCCTATGTATTTGTCTACTTTCTTACCCTTAGAGTCATATAAAACACAGGACAGCCATTCAGGTATTTGAAGACAGTTATAACCTTGCACAGATTCTTCCATTCTCCCAGCTCAACCTCCCCAGTGCCTCCAACTATTCCTTTGCTTTTGTATTTGGAGGTTGCTCTGGTCTCAGTGTATTTTGGTTTGCTTAAGACTCTCTCTGAAAGGATGGTGCCAGAACACTGTAGAGTGGACTGTTAGTTCTAAGTAACTTTTATTTGCGCAGCCTACCTTATTCTTTAATATCTCTTCTAGGTTATTTTGTGAGCATTGTCAAGCAGAGTCAATCTATAGTATAAATAATTAAATTTCTTTTTTTTTTAAATTGGGATGTTATACATTCTTTCTCTCTGCCATACAGTTGCACAGAAATCACCAACAATGCTTCAGTTTTCTCATGTTTGGGTTATTCTAACATCCTTGGGTTTAATTCAAGTATCAAGGTCACTTGAACTCATTTAGCACAACCCTTTACCAGTTCTCCTCTGGAATATATAGTTAGGAAGTAAATTTTTCTCAGAAGAGAATAAATGTTATCATTGTGTTTTATATAAAATGTGTATAAATGTGTTTTGATAATAGTGATTCACAGAGTTGCTTAGTAAAAGTGATTTGAAAAATAGTACTAAATGTACAGCATATAAACAAGCTACCCTGTACATGTTGCCATCAAATCAATTCTGACTCATAGTGACCCCACAGGGTTTCCAAGGCTGTAGATCTCTATGGAAGCAAACTGCTACATCTTCCTCCTGCAGAGTTACTGGTGGTTTCGAACCCTCAACCTTTCGGTTAGCAGTCGATCACTTTAACCACTGCACCACCAGAGCTCCTTTTAAAAACAAGCCAGGACTTCTGGGCAACATGGCACTATAGTCAGAAGTACCACGCCATCCCTCCGCAGCAACGATCAGAAAAACTAAGTTAAACAGAGTCACACATCATTCCTGAAACCCTAAGCATCAAATGAAGAGATAAAGAACTCAGCCAAGCGCCTAATGGAATAAGGAACTGACGGAGAACAGAGAGCAACATGAGATACATGTAGAGGTCCCCTCTCAGCTACTGCAGCATGGATTAGCCATCTTAGACTCCTATCAGAGATCAGTGAATGGGGGTATGAGAAAGCAGCTTCAGGGAGCTTCCAGCAGGAGACAGAACAACTGGCAACCAGCGATATAGGCTTTTCTACCACCTACCCTTCTTCACCCCCTCTTAGCCTGCTCTGCTTCCTGCAGCCTCAGTCTCTTGGCCGGGAAACACCAGCTTTACCCTGATGTCGCTTGGATTCCACCTGCCCACACTGCCCGACTCCCTAAGTGCCTTTTGTTGGCTACTGGTGTTGCCTTTTTCCACTCCTTTAGACTTCTTCCTTACCTCTCACCACCTCCCCCTCCTTTCTCTCAAATACCTGACACCATGTGCCATCTTTGCTTCTTCCTGGAAGGCTGTGAAACACCACTTGACTGTGAAACTGCTTCCCGGCCAGTGCCACCACATTGGTGGGACCTCTGGGAATTTTTTGTTTGTTTGTTGGCTCTGATTTGTTCTGTTTTGATTTGTTTGTTTTCTTTTTCTTTTCTCAGCTTGGGAGCCCCTTCTCGCTGGGCAGTACTGTGTGGCTTGGAAGCTACTCCCTTACTCTGTCTGTGTAGACACACAGGGACATCCCTGGAGGCATTTCTTTTTCTTGTTTTTTTTGTTTGTTTGTTTGTTTGTTTTGTTTTCTTCTCTCTCTCTCTCTCATTCCCTTTTTGTCTTTCTTCATTTTCAGTTTGCTGATTTGTTAATTTTTTTCTTTTACCCTTTTTCTTTTTTTATCGTTTTTGTTTTTCCTCATTTCTCGGTCTCTCCACTCCAACAGCAAGCTCCCTTAGCACTCTTTTGTGTGTACGTTTTTGGCTCCTGTTCCTCTCTCTCATCTTTCCCATACCCATCTTAGCACCACACATCACAATCTGCCTCCTTCCTGCCTAAGTGCACTGTTCATTGAACATCACACTCCCAAGCAGCACAGACACAGCCTACTGGAACCTGCCCTGCACTGAGTCCCACTCCACCCTGTCAGCCCTGGTACGTGCCACAAACAACCCATCCCAGCAAATCCCCTTCAGCTGGACTTGCCCTTCTGTACCATACCTGAGTGACTGACCCTGCCCATTGGAGAAGGAGGTGAAAAGTATCGTGCCCACAGACGAGCAAACAACAAAGAACGCACAGCCCACCTGCTGAGACGTAACCAAATAAAACAAAAAAGCAGGACAAAACAAATCTACTATCAATAAACAAGGAAAATAAACACTGAATGCCCCAAAGATAGCAGATAATATCAAAAGATTTACAAAAACATAACAGGATGGTTCCAGTAGTCGTCAAAAATAAAATACCAGCTGACCTTCCAGGAGAAGAAAAGACACTAGACCTAACTGATAGGGAATTCAAATCTCTAATATTCAGAATTATCCAAGAGTTGAAGCAAAAAGCAGACAAAAATGAGGAAAAAGTAGACAAATACATGGAAAATACAGAAAAAAACTGGAAGAATTCAAGAAAATAATACAGGAACAAAATGCTAAAATAACTTCACAACTAGAAATCATACAGAAACAACAATTAGAAATCCAAAAGATACCAAGATTTCAGAAATGGACAGTGTCATAGAAGGGCTGAGGAGCAGGTTTGAAACGATGGAAGATAGGATCAACAAAATTGAAGACAAATACTTGGATACAACTCTGAGGAAAAAAATCAGAAAAAAGAACAAAGAAAAATGAAGAAACCCTGAGAATTATGTGGGATACAATCAAAAGAAAAAATCTTTGAGTGATCAGAGTTCCAGAAAAGTGGGAGAAAACAGAAAATACAGAGAGGATCATTGAAGAATTGCTGACAGAAAACTTCGATGATATCATGAAAGATGAAAAGCTGACCATCCAAGAAGCTCAATGAACCCCATATAGGATAGACCCCAAAAGAAAATCACCAAGGCATATCAAAAAAAAAACAAAGACAAACAAAGAATCCTGAGAGCAGCTC